AAAAGTGTCGAGAAAGGTTGGAAGGTCAGTTTTCACGTGCTCGGTTCGTCCGAGAATCTTGACATGTGCCGTGAAAAGGGAAAAGCAGACGCCGTCGGACAATGATTGCTTGGGCGGGAAGCACTTTGGGTTGAATTCACGGACACTTGTGGTCATCAGATTTATTTGTTTTGTTCCAACATGAACGCCAGAAAACTGTCAAGTTGTGCGGACCACCTGTGGACTACGTTCAGTGCGTCTTCAAGCTCAAACGGCCGCCTGATCGTTCGAACTGTCGTCTGCTCTTTCAAACGTTTCTGCTTGTCGTCTGCTCTCTTAGACGACGCCGGCCGTAGGTTAAATGTTGGCCCGGTACTTGCTATACGAAGTAAGTGCAGGCCTCAAAAGACTTAAGTTTGAAGGTTGGTAAATAGGCTCGATGTAAACAGTAAATACAAGGAGATGATCATTGTAACGAGTGACCATGCATCACTGACTTGCTATGCCTAATTGACTTAGTCCGATTCTACTTGCGATTTTCAGTATCGACGTCGACTATCTCAGCTACGGTACAAGCTTTTGCAGCCCGAGCGGCGTCGCGACTGAAAATTGTGAGCGAAATCTCATCATGCGAATCAAGTTTTATCGCACATACTGCGGCGTCCACGCGGAATGAATCGCCACATGTCACATTATTCACGCGACGTTTCGCGGTGTAACGAGCCTCGGTAATTTCGCTAACACCGCTCAAGTAGTCAGAGATCGCCAGGAAGACGTAAAATCAACAATTCGAACGCGAAAAAGGGCAGGGGGACTGACACCGACGCCGACAACGTCGCATTTCAATGGTTTGTTTATGGGCGACGGCGAGCTTTTTGCCCACACCCCCATCGCGCATGCGCGGCGCCGGTGGCGTCCGCTAGGGGCGCTCCGGTTTGTTTGTAAACATGAGTTGGTGTATAGACCGTTTTACTGAAAGAGGGCGAGAGAGAAAAGGGGAAAGGGCTACCGGCGCTTTCCCCCTTTCTGATTGTGTAGAAAGAGTGAAAGTCCCGGATGAGGAGGCTTGGCCGGTGTTGGGTGTCTGCTGTGCCCCAACTTCGTTCGCGCTTTCTTTTCTGTTTTGAACTCGCAAACTTTATTAGAGCCACGGGCTTCAATGGCAACAGTTCCCCGGTCATCGGGACACCATTGCTCGGTCATAGGGTGCACGAATAACGACAGAAAGCGTCGAATACTGTCCGAGGACCTATGTAGCTTGCAATGAATCCGGCAAGGCGAGAACGGCTGCAATGTCTTTTAAGCTCCATCGCTTTCCACATGACCCCAGTCTTGGCGGCAGTGGATTGCGTTCGTAAACCGAAAAGACATTTCCTCAACACCATCTTCTCGACTGTGCTCGGAACAGCTTATGAATGGAGCGCGCACCGAACGCTGTACCGCCGATGAACATCGGGTACGCTCGCAAGGTGCGTGCCAGTTTTCTCGTGATAATTGCTGTTTCAGCTTGTAAAATTTTGTAACTGAATTTATCTTAATATTGATAATTTGCAGTGGTGACTGACTCGATTTCATCATTTACAACACTTAGTTGAAGGCTTATTTCCGCCGCCGGGTGAGGCTAGAAATTGTTGAAAAGGTAGTTCTATCGGTTTTCCTGAATAGCGATCTGTGCGATACCAGAGAGCCGGCAAAAGCGCTCCTTGGAGTGCCGCTGGTGGGTTGTTTGGGTTGTTTCCGTTGATTGGGCGCTTTGAAGCGCTGGATAGTCACTCCAGGGTACGACTCGTGTGTTGCGATCTGTGTTTTCGAGCCCAGTGTGTACGTTTCTTTGTTCGAGTCATGGCATCTGCCAGTGCGGCAACGGGGGGAACAGCGGCAGCGAACGTGTCAGTGATAGAAATTGGAGGTTAGTACTCAAAATATTGCATCAAATAGTAAAATAATTCGTGGCTGCTTTGACGCTTTCTGCGGTTCGATATAAGCACATCTAGAACGTATTCGTCGTTCATCCACAATGAAATATGAGAACACGGACACGCAAGATAAAAGCAGCGCAGCAAAACGATATGTAGCAGCTCCGGGTGTTTACAAAAGTTAATTGAGGTTCCCGTTTCGTGTATCGCTTGTTCATTACTAAAAAACGGCTGCGTTGAAATGGGCCTATTGCAAGCAAAAATTTATGAATGGTTCATCATTTCCCGTCACGCGGAAAGCGGTGGAGCTTCAAAACATTGCAGCCGCACGTGCCTTGCCGAATTCCATGCAAGCTACGAGGTCCTTGGGCGGTATTCGACGCTTTCTGCTTTTATTCCTGCACCCTATGACGCAGCAATAGTGTCCCGATGACCGGGGGACTGTTGCCATCGAAGCCCGTGGCTCTAATTAAGTTCGCGAGTTCAAAACAGAAAAGAAAGCGCGAAAGAAGTTGGGGCACAGCAGACACCCAACACCGGCCAAGCCTCTCATCCGGGACTTTTACTCTTTCTACACAATCAGAAAGGGGGAAAGCGCCGGTAGCCCTTTCCCCTTTTCTCTCTCGCTCTCAAAATGGCGCTACCCACGATAAAACCAGATTTCCGAGATTTCGACAGAAGGGAAGTTAATGCAGCGTAATGACTTTATTGCTTTTTATAAGCGTTAGAATAGCTCAGAATTTAGTTTACAACGTTAAATTGTCACTGTTTATATTGCTGAGAGTTTTCACTCTGCGCGTTTACCATGGCAACGTTGCTTTCTTTCTCTCGTGTTCTGTCGCTCTCTTTTGCGATCGTTCACTCGGGACCCCGGGTGTCGGCGCGCGGGATTTGCCACTCCTCCTCACCCACCTTTACCCCCCTGTCAAAATGGGAACCTGGTGTCAACAATATGTGAACGGACATCCTGGTGATATATAACCACCAACAAAACATCATCTTGTGTCATGAATCTCCCAGTACCTCCCCTTTTATGAAAAGAAATGATCTGAAATTATGATTATGGAAAATAAAAAGATGAAAGGGCAGCTTATCCGTAAAAAATAAAGATCGAGAGTGACAAAAAACACCAAGAAATAGCCCACGAATGTTTCTCACTCTCATGCCTTTCATTCTCAAGTGGGGATGCAAAAAAAAAAAAAAAAATCGGGTTGAATACAAAGATAATTGTAAAGAAAGAGTGAGTGACATTTAAAACTTGTTTTGCAAAGTTGCATTCTTTGAAGTGAAAGCTTTGTTGAAAGACCAATGAGTAGAAAGTGACTTGTCACTTTCAACTACATCGGTCTTTTGGCATATGGTAAAGTATGGAGTACACTTTTCCTGTAAACAGGATCATTGCCAACTCTGTGACTGCCACCTGTGAGTCAAAATTATTAGGCTATTTCAATGCTATTTAGACCCGTTCAAGAAGCCTCTTGTACCTGCCAATGCAAGTAAATAATAGTAATGGGCTCTCATGGTAGACTCTTAAAACCTTGGGAGCTTCCCCTTGAAGCTATGAAAAACGCTGGTGGCAGAACAGCTAGTACGTTAAACTACATAACTGTAAGGTTGCATGGTAGTGAACATTATACAGTGTAATTTTTTATTCGAAACAGATTTTTTAAAAAGGCGTCTTTACTGCTACACGAATGCCGTCTTCACTATATGCCTCTTGAGGTCGGCGGACATTTCAAGGGCGAACCGGGCGAACCGTACGTCTGGTGAGTAATTAACTGAAATTCATTGATTAACGTTTTAATTAAGGAAAATAGACATATAATTCCAATCAGAAACTTGCGAAGTGTCGTTTAACACCACTAAATCAGTCATTTTCAGAAAGACTGAGCACGTGAGAAGCGCAATAGTGCACTCAAGTTACCACTCGTGGAGCAGGTACAAGGCTGGTGCTCTGATAAGAGATGGAAAAAATCATGCGGGCGTTTTATCGCACCGGCGGCTTTGTACCTGCTGCATGAGCGGTAACTTTAGCGCACTACTGTGCTTCTCACGCGCTCGAAGTTATGAAAATGACTGATTTGGTGGTTTTATATGAAGCTCAGCAAGTTTCTAATTGGAACCATGTCAATTTTCACTAATCAAAAATTTAATAATTAATTTCAGTTAACTACTCACCAGACTGTGACGGTTTTTCGCGCATTGAGTGTCGCCGATCTCAAGAAACCTATAGTGAAGACTGCATTCACGTTGCAGTAAGACGCCTTTAAAAAAAAATGGTTCAAATAAAAAATAACATTCAGTATAATAGGCTTTTTCCAAAGCGCGCAGGCACCGTCTAAGGCACCCAAAGGAATACTGGAAATGCGGGTTACAGTCGGTTGTAGCAGATGACACAAGTTACCTTGGAGGCGACGGCAAAGGGCAAGTGCAGGAGAGCAACTGCACTAGTCTCTTAATTGCTCTCAAGCATCACATGGTAGATGCTGCAAGGGCAAAGAGGAGCACACGGGACTTCCTGCACGGCATTTTGCGATTTTTGCAAGAGGTTTATTAATGGGCCTGTCACTGTGCAGCATTTTCGGTTCCACCAAGAAGGGGCATAATTTTGATAGAGGTTTCTAGTTTCTACTGGCATATACTTTCAACACATGGAAAGTATTTGTGACTCTTTTTGGAAGTTGCCAGAGAATCTACATTGGCATAGAAAATTCATCTATGCCAGGGGTGGCCAAACCGCGGCTCAAGAGCCGCATGCGGCTCTTTGCTGGTCCAAGTGCGGCTCGCGGATCCCTCGTAAAGGGACCCCCCCCCCCCCCCCCCCCCTTCGCCCCTTCCCGCTTTTTCCCAGAAAAAAAAAAAAAAGATTTCAGAATAAAGCACACTGCAGCTTGCAGTTTGGCAGCCTTACCCATACATACAGTCGTACAGCCTTGTGCCCCCCTACCTACTGTGGAGGCCATGCCGGGCCAGAAGAAGGTTCGTGCGTACTCTCTCGTGCCAGAACAACAAGTGACTTTTATTCTGTCGAAAATAACACACGAAGCCACCCCCGCGGTGGCACAGGGTTGCCTGCGGCAATCACGCACGCGAGGGTTACGCCCTCTACATCTCCCCCCTCAGAATCGCACTAAAGGTCCAACTTCCTGGGACGCACCACCCGTCGGCCACACCTGGTTCTTTGTACAGGTGAGGTATCCAAGTCAGGTTCGTTGCGCCGGAGGTTGTGGCTCGTAGGCGAAGGTGGCTGCTGAGGTTGAGCCGATCCTTGAGCTGCAGGTGCCACCAACTCTTGAGGAGGAACCAGTCCTTGAGGAAGAGCCAGTCCTTGAGATGCAGGTGCAGGTGGTTGCCGAGGGGAAGCCCGTTCCTGCGCTGCAGGTGCCGCCGGTTCTTGAGAAGGAGCCAGACCTTGAGCCTCTTCTCTCGCAGTTGGGTCTTCACTGCCTGTCCTGAAAGGCACCAAGTTTCTCCGGTTGCGCTGCCAGATCGCTCCCTCATCTGTTTCCACCACGTACGACCTGGGACGTTGCGCTGGACTGAGAACAGTAGCCTTTACCCGTTCCGGACGAACCCAGACGCGGGTACCGTCTTCCAGCGGCGAGAGGCTTCTAGCCCGATGGCGGCGATCAAAGTCGGTGACTTGCCGACGTTTGAGCTTCGCGGCCTTGGTGGCCACCTCCTCCTGTGGCTTGCTACTTGGCACCAACAGTCTCCCCTCCTTGGGAAGTCTGGTGCGGAGTCGGCGCCCCATCAACAATTGTGCCGGACTGAAACCTGAGGGTCCGGGGGTATCTCGGTAGTTGAGCAAAGCCAGGCACGGATCGTGCGCCTTGCGTAGCAGGTTCTTCACCGTGCGCACCGTGCGCTCTGCCTCCCCATTGGACTGTGGGAAGTTGGGGCTGCTTGTCTGGTGCACGATTCCGTACGATGCCATGAACCGAGCGAACCCGTGGGACTGGAAGGGTGGTCCGTTGTCTGAACGCAGAGTGGAGGGGATGCCGTGACGAGCGAAAATGCTCTTGAGCACTTGGATGACATGCCCAGCTGTTGCAGAGTTGAGCGAGACCACTTCCGGATAACTGGAATAGTAGTCGACCACGAGGAGGTAAGTCTGTCGGTTCAGGTGAAACAAGTCAGCGCCCAGAAAGTCCCAAGGTAGACTTGGAAGCTGCGTGCTCCGAAGTGGCTCTACTGGATTGTCTCGGTACGACGTGCACTGTTCGCATTGTGCCACGAGTGCTGCTATATCAGCGTTGATACTTGGCCACCATACTGATTCCCGGGCCCGAGCCTTGCATCTGTTAATGCCTTGGTGACCTTCATGAATCAAAGTCAGCGCTGTCGCACGTTGCACTGTTGGTACTATAATGCGAGTGCCTTTCAGAAGTAAACCATCACAAACCGAAAGTTCGTCCAACACGCTTGCATACTTCGTCAGGTGAAGCGGTAACTTTGACTTCAAAGGGAACCCGTTGCGGCACATCGACGCGAGTGCGCGACACTCCCCGTCGCTTGCTTGAGCAGTTCGAAGGTCCTCCAGCTGTAGAGACGCTGCTTCTGATGAGGTCTGAAGGACTTCCGCAGCAAACACTTCGATTGTGTCTACAGGACGAGACGAATCGGCAGGTTCCGTTGGCATACGAGACAGGGTGTCCGCTGTTGCGAGAAGCTTTTCAGGGACATATGACATTGTGAACTGGTACCGCATCACCTTCAGTCGAAGGCGCTGGATACGTGGAGGTACCACGTCCAGGTCCATCTTGCCAAACAGTGAGACCAGGGGCAGGTGATCTGTCTCTACGTCGAAGACCAACCCACGGAGAAACTCGTCGAACCGTTGAATAGCCCATACAGCTGCCAGGGCTTCCTTCTCCGTTTGGCTATAACGTAATTCAGTCGCTGTAAGAGACCTCGACGCAAAAGCAACCGGTCTTCTTTCGCCGGAAGGCTGAGTTTGTAGAAGGACTGCCCCCAAGCCAAATGAACTGGCATCTGCTGAGACGACTGTTGGGTACGCCGGATGATACTTCGCCATACAGCGGTCTGAGACGAGCATCAGCTTGAGCTTGGTGAATGCCGTTTCTTGTTCGTGGGACCAGTTCCACGCAGCATTCTTGCTGAGGAGCGCTCAGATAGGAGCTGCAACGTCCGAAACGTGCGGAAGGAAACGCCCGAGGTGGTTCACCATGCCAAGGAGGCGTCTTGCACCTGCAATGTCAGTTGGCGCACTCATCTCCTTGATCGCTTGGAGCTTGCTTGGGTCAGGACGGATGCCCCTTGCAGATACCATCACCCCCAGGAAGGAAACCTCGCTCTGGCGGAAGCAGCACTTCTTCTCGTTCAAAGTGATGCCTGCGCGGGATAGTCGCATCAGGACTTGCTGCAGGCGGGAGTCGTGTTCTTCGAGAGTGCGTCCGAAGACAAGTATGTCGTCTATCATGCACACAGTGCCTTCCAGGCCTTCCAAAATCCTGGACATCTGCTTCTGGAAAAATTCGGGCGCAGAGGTGATGCCGAAAGGCATCCGACGGAAGCAGTAGCGTCCGAAAGGTGTGATAAATGTGGTGAGTTCTTGCGATTCTTCCGCCAACTTCACCTGGTAGAAGCCTGATTTAGCGTCCAACTTGGAGAACACCGTTGCGTCTCCCAGCAGGCCCCGGACCTGGTCGACCGTGGGAAGGATGTGGCGTTCTCGCAGGACCACCCGGTTTAATTTCGTAAGGTCCACGCACAGCCTGTGGCCCCCAGTGGCTTTGGGGACGACCACCAGTCCGGCGCACCATGGCGTTGGCGTGTCAACTCGGCGAATGACACCTTCTTGTTCCATCTTCTGCAGTTCCTTGCGGACGACTTCCCGCAACGGAATGGGGATGCGCCTTGCCACGCTAAGAGAAAATGGAACAGCGTCTGGCTGGAGGCGGATCTTGTATTCTTCAGAAAGAGATCCGAGGCCATTAAACAGCTTGTCACAAGTCTGAGAAGAGACTTTGACGGTAGAAGGGTCCTTTTCTTTCGATGAGACGCCGTCGACGAATTTGACGACTTGAAGTGCCTGAATGGCTGGAAAGCCCAAAAGAGGCACGGAGAGGGATTTTACCACATATAGTCTTTGCTGGGTTGACTTGCCTCTCCACAGCAAAGTGGCCATGAAGGACCCAAGAACGTTGAGTGGCTGCTGCCCTGGCCCGAAGAGAGTGTCATCCTCCTTGTCGAGGGACGGCGGCAAGTTGGGGAAGGTGTTCGAGACGGCTGAAACTTCGGCTCCCGAGTCAACCTTGAACACTTCCGTGTAGTCGTTGACAGTTACTTCCACGAACTTGCCTTGGTCGGAGTTTCGAACGGCGTACAAACCCAGCTCTGCCACCTGGGTCGACCGTTTCTTCCGGGAACGGCAGACGTCCGCGAAATGGCCTTTTTTCTTGCAGTGGTTGCACAACGAGTTGCGGGCGGGGCATTCCGAGCGAGCGTGTGAAGCGCGGCCGCAGCAGCCGCACAAGCTAGAGCTTGAGGTGCGCTTGTCGCGTGCTGAACTGTACTTGACGCGTCCCGCTTGTGGCTGCCGAGACTTGGCAGCGTCGAGGCTCACCGGTCGAGACTGCGTGTCGTGGCCTGCGAGCTGGTCTCTCTGCTTTTGGGCGTCTTCTGCTTGTCTCGCCTGCACCCATGCTTCTTTGAGGGTTAACTTGGGGTTGCGGCAGAGCTGGTCGGCGAGGCGATCGTCGCGTAAGCCTACGATGAAGCGGTCGCGAACAAGGCGTTCCACGACCTCGGGTGACGGGTAGTTGCATCTCTTGCAGAGCTTGCAGAGTTCCGCATAGTAGCTGTCCACCGTTTCCCCCGGCTGCTGGACTCGCCGGTGAAACTGCGCCGACTCGTACACCTCGTTGAGGGGGTGAACGAAATGGGCCGTAACCTTCTCTACGACCACGTTGTAGTCCGTAGAAGCGTCGCCGAGGCCGAACGTCGCAAGAAGAGGACGAGCTTCCGGCCCCATGCAATAAAGAAGTGTGCGGACCTGAACTTCTCCCGACGCCTGTCGAAGACCGGAAGCGAAGGCGTAGTCCTCGAAAAGGCTTAGCCACGTTGGCCAGGAACCGGCGTTCTCGAAGTCGAAGCGGTCGGGCTGATGCAGTGAAAGACCTTGCCATGAAGGCTTGGCGCCGTTTCCTTCGTCGTCAGGCATGGCAGCGAGCAGGACGGCAGCGAGCAGGAACACGGCGGTCGAAAGCCGGGCGAGCGAACTACGCAGTTACGGCGGAGACGATTCATGCGGAGGCGAGGCCTACGTCGTTAGGCATAACGTTTGGCACTCCTGACACCATGTGGAGGCCATGCCGGGCCAGAAGAAGGTTCGTGCGTACTCTCTCGTGCCAGAACAACGAGTGACTTTTATTCTGTCGAAAATAACACACGAAGCCACCCCCGCGGTGGCACAGGGTTGCCTGCGGCAATCACGCACGCGAGGGTTACACCCTCTACACCTACAGTCAGACTCTGAACAAAATTCAAGTTTGAACCCCCCCCCCCCCCCCCCCCCCGCGGCTCTTGGAAGTTCCATGGTTTTGTTTGCGGCTCTTAGGCCAGCCAGCCTGGCCACCCCTGCGGCTCTTAGGCCACCCCTGTGCCTTCGCACGCTTGGATACCGACCAAGAACCGACGCCGTGTGTATGTGTTTAGCGAGTGCAATGTGCGTGAAGCTGTTCGTGCCTCTGGATCAGCGTCTTTTCCCCTCGCGGTTTAGGAACGAGCTTAATCCAGCGTCCACTAGCGACGGAAGATGGGGGGAAGGTACGTCTTTTTTTCGTCCTTAGACGATTTACACAATACCGTGCACAACAGCTCCTCATCACTGATCAGTGCTGGCTTATTATCAACCTACTTAATTGCACTTGACGTTTGAGCGCGGCTCGCCTAATTGTAATTGGTCAACAGATTGCACACGACCATATCGGCCGCGCTTCAAAGATTTTCATTCTCGCCGTCTTGTACTTTTGCTTTCGAAAACCCCACTGGCTCCACAACGTTGCCCTATTCGTGCTCCCACGGAATCTATTAGAGTAGGTTTGGGACATAGCCATGGTTAATATAGTACATAAGAACATGTACAGATCTCCCCCTTTTATTGATAGCAACTCACCGGAACAGTTGGACGATCCAGAACTCCGTGGCCGATATATATAAATGATCTAAAGGCATCTACGCGCGACACACGTTCAGAACTTTGGCGCGGCGTCAATTCTTGACCGGTATCCAAGCGTACGAAGGCACAAAGATGCATCACTCGGCGTGCCAAGGAAGCTTTGATCACGCCGCGACACCGGCGACACGTTTTCGACGAGTTGTACCTTTTGATACGGCTTCACGCACATTGCACTCGCTAAACACATTCACACGGCGTCGGTTCTTGGTCTGTATCCAAGCGCGCGAAGGCACAGAGACACGGCACTTCGGCGTGCCAAGGAAGATTTGAACACGCCGCCAGCCCTTCCTTTCGACGCGTTGTACCTTTTTCCTGCGACACTGCACTTTCGTAAAATTTTCCACGTGTTCACAACGGCAAGTCTCAACGATACACAGAGTCTCAAAAAACTTCCTCGGCGAATGACGACGAACGAGTAGAAAACGTGTCTACAGCACGCTGGAAAACCGCAGCAAAAGGCTAGCAAAACGGGAAATCGTATCCCAGCGGGGTTGCGTCCGGTGGCTTCACTTGCGGGAGCGGCAAGCGCGATCCAGCAATTGTCATTGAGATCAGTGGGTTCGCCATACTTGGCCCAGTCGGCCATCTTTCATCCATCTATCCATCCATCCATCCAACACAAGGCCGTGCGCCGCACAGGCGCACTGCAGAGGTCGCGAGGAGGTGCAGCTGGCGGAGCCAGGAGCTGGGAGAGCGAGGTGTCGACGAAACGTCGCAACATTTGTCGATGAAACGAGCGGGTGCTCGTTTCCACAAAATGATCTGTCGATGAAACATCGCAGTGTCGACGAAACGATTTGTCCATGAAACGTCGTTCGACGAACTGATTGCCACCGGCCGCTGGAGCGTTATTACGCTTTGCTTTCGTACGTGCATTTATGAAAGTTCAGTCTTATTTCTTTTAAACCGTATTATAATTCGCGATTGATTCACAACGACAACCTACCAAGCCTGTCTTGCTAACATGGCGCAGTCAACACCGACCCCACCCTGGATCACGGACCCCAACAGCCACGACGAAATTCAAAAAGAGATGAAGGAAATGAAAGCACAAATTCAGACGATTCTCTATGCCCTGAACATCGGCAGTGACCACGATTCCGGTCAGTCAAGTGAAGGAGGAGACGATCATCGCCAGCCCGAACAGTCGACCCAACCTGTTCTTGTCCTGGCCATCAAGCACCAACGAAAACGATACATGACCCATCAATCGAATGACATTTTCGGCATCATCGCTGAAACAACGACAACTCGCCCCCAAGCCCTGAACCAAAACTCGCAATCTCTCCAAGTACACTGTTCGGGCGAGACAGCAGCAGCGATACACACATTCGAAGGTAACCAGCAAGAGAGCCTCAAAGACTGGCTCGAGGCAGGGCCGGATGCTCCTCCTCCTCCTCCCCCTCCCCTTCCCTCCCCTCTCCCCCCCCCCCCCCCCCCCCCCCAAATATATCATTCCTTGAGCTCGGCGCATTGAGTGTCGCCGAGCTCAAGAAACACATCAAACGTTTGCTTGTAGGCACCAACGGCTACATTTACTTCAAACGTCCATTCTATACGTATTTTGTTTTCCGGATATGTTTAGACCCCTAATCCCGGAAGTAGACAAGACTGTATCCGAAAAGTTGTTTATTAAAATCTAACAAAAACATAACAGAGCAGCAGAGCAAGAGTGCGCACATACATATAATCAATACTATACAATATATAAAGCAACACAAACAATAAAGTGGACGCTACACTACAAATGGAAATTACCAACACTAAGTTACAAAACAGTGTACCAAAATGCAGACATTGGAAATAATTGACAAATACGACAATAAACAAATGCTATATGCTTCTCACGGGCACCCTTTAATGAGTTGGACAAAAAAAAATAAAGCCAATCATCAGCACGTTTAAGTTAGCAAAAAAGCAAATGAGACAATGCTGAGGTTTACAATCTTAACCTGAAAGGATATCGTAAGAATAACAAACACGGGACAAAGAGCCAACTTCTACTTTTATTATTGGCAGCTAAGCACTTTCTCGACAACGTGGAAGTTAGGACAGATGGAGCGAACATATAACTGATTCCTCTAAAATTGCATATTTCGTGCCTTCGCTTTGGCAAAATCTGATATAGTATGTTCAAAAGATAAATCGTGGAAAAGGTCACTCTCAATTGACATCATACCGAGCGAGTTCAGCTTCCCATCCAGAATGTTAGAACGGAGGTGATTCTTTATCAGTAACAATTTAGAAAACGATCGCGCGCTTTCACAATTTGCCACGGGTATGCTTAGGTGCATTCGCAATGCAATGGAAATGTTTGGAAACATATGAATAAGTTTTCTTTCGTGCAGCAATTGCATTAACCCTAGGGCACTTGTGTCTTGGCATGCAGAACTTTGTAGAAAGTTTGAAAACTGAACTACCTCGGTTGAAAATGCTGACTCTAAATCATTTTTGTAGGTTTTCACCAACTTCTCGGCCTGCTGTTCCAGAGACATCTCGCTCCCAACTTATGTCAGCAATTTTAGAAACCCAAACTTCTCGCAGAGTTCGGCGAGAGCAACCTTTCGCAGCCGCGAAGCAGAGCCACGACTGTCAAGTACGACCCCCCATTCTAGGTCTCTACAAAAAAACTTTTCCCTACCTTGTAGCGCACAATCGCTTTTTCCGTCCGGGCAACTTCTCGAAACGATATGTTTGCCCTCATCTTAACACTAAATGGTACTCAACATGCGTGCTCTCGCCTCAAAGGTATCAAAGAGATGTCGCAACAAATTCACAAACCCTTCCAGAGAGCTCAGAAGATCGACAGCAGTCGAAATATCTAAGCCAGGCTTCTGGAATGCTGCACTGGTTTTGTCAAAACGCTCCAAGATTTCACTCCAGGAAATGGTCATACATGCAGTATCAAGCTTTGTCATTTTATTAAAAAGAGAGCACGCTTTATTCCGGGAGTCACTGTTTTCTTGTCCGTTCTTTGCGATAGATTCAAGGCAACACTGAACCGCCTTGAAATTTTTACGAAAGGCCTTACATGATTCGGCATGTCTTGGCCAACTGGTTTCAGAGGCTTTTTAGAACAAGGTGTTCACCAGTTCCACCCATGCTGTCTAAAAGACATTTCCACCGCCGGCCCCTTAAAGGAGGCAACAAAGAACGCGTTCAGTTTCTGAGTTACACTGAAAAATTTTGTTGGCCCCAAGGCAACTGTCGACGCTGCACGCTTCAGCTAAGTTTAGTGAATGGCCTGCGCACGGGACGTAAACGGCCAACTTGTTGAGGTGTTTAACTTGCGCTTGCTATCCTTTGTACTTCCCCGACATATTACTTGTGTTGTCATATGCCTGGCCCCTGCAGTCATCAATCCAGATGCCGTTGCCTGCCAACAGAGACATCACGGTATCGAAAATATACAACCCTGTATGCGATTCAATCGGAACAAATCCAAGAAAGCGTTCATGCACTTCTACCTTTAAACAGTAGCGTAAAAGAACTGACAGCTGGTCAACGCGGGTAAGGTCTGGAGTCGAATCAATTATTAACAAAAATATTTTGCCCGTTAGCCTCGTCGACAAGACGGTCTTTGACGGCCTTTGCCATAAGCTCGATAAATTTGTCACAAATTGTTTTTGACAGGTATGATGGGTGGCCTTTGCCCTTGTTTCCATTGCGCTCAATGTGTTCAGCCCAGAAAGGGATCACACTGGGGAAAGATTTCAAGCACTCCCATACAATCTCCATTTCGCGGGGAACCAAAAACTTCCTCACTTCCCCTTAAAGGGGTAGTGAAACGAAATTTTAGCGCCGATCTTGTTGCATAAATATGGGCTAGGGACAGGCACCACCTCGGAAATATAAATAATGCGCTGTAAAACACAGGAAAACTAATTTTAAACATAATTAAACGATTTCAAATTCTCATCTGGTGGATGGGGGGAAGTTCTCGTGACATCACTTGTGCCATAATAGCAGCGCCGTTCTGCGGCAATACGGCGTGCCGTCAGAATTCGCCTAGGCCTGAACGTTTGCAAA